TTTACCACAGTATATTGTGCAGGATGTTTGTACAGTTATAGTATGCAACATGCCAACAATTCAATCACAGTAATGAAGTAAATACGTTTCACTCCTCTCACTCTCACCCACCTCTTCCTCTTCCTCTTGCTCTTGCTTCCATGTTAGCTTCCATTGTTGCTGTAAGAAAGTAATCAGCTGTGGTCTTTTGATAGTGCTAACATCCTGATTGATGAGCCAACAATTATGCTCCCAGTTGTTTGGTCAGGTGGAACGTGTTTCTTGATCATTGGTCCATGTGTGAGGCATTTTGAATATCAGTGTTTTAAACCAGCTAACACGTGACTTTATGTCAGATTCCTGTGTCTAACGTGGAGAAACGTGTGCAGTGGTTTGCAGAAAGTGCCATGTTGATTTGCAAATTGTGAGAAAAACTGGAAACGTGTTTAGAGTTTTGGAGATTTGAGCCGATGTTTTGCTCTTTGAGTGTCAGTTAAAATAATTGTGCTTTATGTATACTTTTAGTGTGTTAGCAATCGAGAAGAACTGTAACATCTCTAAAAGTATGACAGAAAGGGATTACAAATCTGGTAAGGTTTAGGACTGTTTTTATCTTAAGAAATATGGAGTTATATTTTACCCATGTTTGTGAGTGTGCTTTATACAGAACAACAGGAAGAGAGGAAGGAAACACCGCCAAATGTCACATGATATCACCGGTCCAAACCTCAACAGCTCTACGCCAAATCTGAGGTCTCATGATATGCCGTTTCCACGGAAACGCATCTCTCGCCATAAAACACGATATTGTCGTAATTTAAAGGAAAATAAGCTTTGATTCTTGTTAGAATTGTTCATATTGTTATTATCAAGACTTAAATATAGCCTATCGTTTTTTAGAATGATCTGTTTCTCTATCTCTCCTTCTCTCTCACACAAACAAACAAACAAACAAATGCGCACACACACACACACACACACACACACACACACACACACACACACACACACACACACACACACACACACACACACACACACACACACACACACACACAGTTCTTTTTTCAACTAAAGTGTGACCTCTGGTGGTCTGAGACTGCGTTTGTAGACAACAGTGGAATACAAATAGCATTTATTATAGTTTAACATCCAAGCTCTAAAAGTGTAACAGAAAGGGATTACAAATCTGGTAAATATGAGGTTTAGGACTTTTTTATCTGAAGACATTTTGAGTTGTATTTGACACATGTTTGTGAGTGTGCTTTATCCAACAGCAGTACAACAGGAAGAGAGGAAGGAAGAGGGTGTGAAAATCTGCAGCGCTAAACCACACGGTGACTCTCAAACAAAGCATCATGACCTGGAGGTTTGAGGATAAAGATACTCCACCTAAAAAAAACATAATTTTCAATGATTTAATAAAGACATGAGAAATAATACAAATGAAAAGATATTTATAGAGAAACAGTTTTACATTAGTTTGCAGGTGCAGTGGGTTGAAGCGGGACATCCCCTGTTGGCTTACAATTCAATATTTCCACCAGTACTTACTTTGTGGAAAATACATCCTTTGAATTAAAGAACAATAGCTTGATCTGCATGACATACACTGACAACGTTTCCATGCTATAACCTTATTCTTATTTTCTTTCCTATTAGGGCACTTGTCCACATTGCAAAGCAACCAGAGATCGAGTGAGGTAAAACTCAGTGTATGCAAAAAGAGTTTACTATATAAGGCCAAAATGTAACATTTATATAACTATAAGTTAGTGGTATGAAAGAAATGAATATGATATGAAAGGCTGACTTTTTTTGTAGGGAAATCATTAATGCACTTCTAAGTAACATTAAACAAGAACAAATAATTTTTAAACAAAACACTTTCATTCTCAGTTGATGGTACAAACATTTTCAGTACTATGCAACATAGTGAAATCAGTAATTAAAGGGGAAACCTAGCAGTGGTAGGTGGAAATTCTTACTTTGCCGCAGAGATGTAGGAGTGTAATGAAGGTGTGATGAAAACATGCCAACAGTTTGATATAAGACTGTGTGGGAACTTGATACCAAACTCAAAACTCACTTCACTGTCTTTGAGTTTTGTGTGAAGTTACTCATTAAACTATAACTCTGGCATAATGTTATTCTTATTTTAAATCAACGAAAATCTAGTTCAACAACAGTCTGTGTAAGCCAGATACATATTGTGTGTGTGTGTGTGTGTGTGTGTGTGTGTGTGTGTGTGTGTGTGTGTGTGTGTCTGGTTTCTCAGCCACACACAGGAAGTGTGTTCCTTTATAGTCTCTTCAGGAGTTGCACGTCTGTAATATTGCACACAGATTGCACTTGTGCCGCCTGGCATCGTGGCACAGCCTTGCACCTCGTACAGTATGGAAGAAAACGTTCCTCGATATAGACGTCTGTCAAACACAAATAAACAACAGAACACAATCAGAAGCATGATGAGAGCGGGGGTCCTGTGGATGCTGATGGTGTGTCTGAGTGATGGAAAAGACCCCACATGCTCAGGTAAGAAGATGTCATGTTGGTGAATTATACCAGAGCTGTCCCAGTAAAGCGTGGCTGAAGCTGCTCGGACAGAGATTTATTTACACCGGCATCGCAGCTTTCTGATGTGCTTTGTTAATGATCTGAGTTTTCTTTGTCTGTATTCAACACTATTTATTTTGAGCCAGACATTTATTTATGTGTCACATAAATGCGCCACTTCCACACCTATTGTAATCCAAACCATGACTTTAAAAAGTAGTGTTCTTCTTCTTCGAACACATGTTGGTTGACAATAACGGAAGAACATTTTTGAATAACCTTTCCTACGATATCACATGAACCTTTGCGTGCAGGTCCAATGAAACTCCTCCACATTAAGAACAAAATATATACACTACATTTTTTGCCTCTTTTTCCGTGTTGCCAGTTTGGCCAATTTTATACCCACTTTTTATTATATATATATTTATTACAATTTTGAATTATGTTTTGATTATATATATATATATATTTATTGTTATTATTTTTCTATATGTATTTTAGATTTTTGTATATATGTTTATATTTTTCTGTTGTTATTTCTATTCTTTTTTTAATGTGTTTTATAAATAATATTGTATTTCTTTACAGTCGGTAGCTAAAGTATTAACAAAACAAAAGAGCATTCACATTTTTTTGTAATACTTTAAATAATAAAAAGAAAAAATGCAAACTATTTATTTATAAAAATGAAACAGTAAGAAAGGGGTAAAAAAGAGACACATTGTTCCATTGTTATGGGGAGCGTCTGGCAAAGCTAATGTGATCTAGATTTTACGGGTGTTGTTGAGTTCAGTAAACTCGACACACAATGACAGAAACCCCGTGACATTTCTTCTCATCACAAACCGGCTGTTTCTTGTGTTTTTATGTCAGTTCTGACGAGCCTCACAGTTTCAAAACTCACTAAAGTTAACGTCTCCTGTCCATCGACGACGAGAACAGAAACAAACTACCAGCTCTTCTTCAATGACAGCTCCTTCGGACGAATAAATATGAAAAAGGTTAGTCAATGATTTGTGATTTGAAGGATTATCGTAATATTTTCTTATTTTAATATATTTGACTGATGCTACAAGAAGACTTGCCACATCAGGAAGCCACAGTTTCTGCTCAAAGACTGCGCTGATATTTCATGAACGTTTTTTTTTTTTACAGAGAAACCCCAGACACATAAACTCTAGTTTGCACAGAAAGTCCAATCCAGCTGCAATGAACTTCTTTGCGCACACAATGCATGCAGCGAGCGACCACTAGAGAGCAGCACTAACTCGACCGAGTGCCTGGGAGTCGTTGCTCTTTCACAGAAAAAACTCACACAACTAAAGATTTGGATTTGTAAGGGAAAAGAGGCAAGATGAGGATTTAAAAATTGAGTCAAAGGGGAAGGGAGAGGATGGGGTGAACGTAAATACCTTTGTGCAGATATGGGATTTGTTCAAAGCGTGTTTTTTTATTCCTAATCATCATGCCCCAAAACCCTGAGTTATTCTAAATCGTGGCTAAAAACCCCTTTTCTTTACCACTGCTTTTCTAGAGGTCCTTCAACTGCAGTTCAATTAGCAGTGTTGAATTTCATATCATTTCATATCTCTTGTATGAATTGTCTTTTATTAATTAATTTTTTTAACCCTTATGTTGTGTTCGGGTCTCCCGTGACCTGTTTCAAGTTAAAATTATATACGCTCTAGTTTTTTGTATCGGAACAAGGCTTCATGATATCCTCCAGCTATATAAACACTACAAAACTGATTTTGACAATTTTATCCAAGCCTGAAGGTCTCTCAAAAAAAAGTATATAATTTGGTGTTCGGGTCTGGGGGGTGTTGGGGGTGACTCGGGGTCAAATTTGGCCCAATCAAGATTCATCTTTGACTTTAGACACCCCTCCCCCACCCCCTTCATCCACTGTAACAATCATTTCAAACTCTTTTTGGGGAGATTGTATTCTAATAATAGTCTATTATAGTCAGATAACGTAATGATCCACTGTCTTCACTATAGGAAATATGATGAGTTAATTTAATCACATATTTTACTCAAATATGTGTTTTTTTGGGGCCTTAAAATTAAATTACAGCAGGTTTGTACGGTTATGAATGCATAATACGTTAGTTATGATGTAGTTAAAACAATATTGGATGGACTGAGATAAATCATGGGTCAAAAGGGTTAAACTATGTGTTTTTAATATATTGTGTTAATGCTTATGTCAAGCACTTTGAGTCTGAAATGTGCTATATAAATAAATCAACCTATATTATAAAACTTCATTTAATGGTGAAGGTAACTGGGGTAACAGAGAGGGTATGTCTTTGCTCTTCAATTTCTTTATTAAATTATAGCAGTCATAATAATTATAAACCAAAGCTATCTTGCAAACTTGCCTGAATTGTATCCTAAGAGAAACAGATGGCACTCTTTTCTTACGGTTTTTTATGGATGTATTCCCCTTTCATCAGCCTGATTCTGATTCTTAGTATGTCTAAATGATTACATGTGTGCGCAGGAATTGGTGAATTGAGAAACTGAAAAAAACAAACAAACAAACCGGAAATTTAAAGCTCTGAAATTAAGCTGCAGATCTTCTTTTTGCTGACCTCTGGTGTTGGGAGTGTGCTGCAGTGATGTACAAATACACTCAGGTTGTGGGGTTTGTACACCTTAAGATAAATTCAATTGACTACAGAACATTAAATTATATTTCACAACACACCACTGCAGAACATCTAAACAGTATCAGCAACTAGCATCTGCAACGAAACCGTGATTATTTTAGCTTTTTTAATCACTTTCTCCAGCTCATAATGTCATTACTTCCCATATTCATCCATCCTGTGTCCCTCTAATATAACACACCACATGTCTCACATTTATTTTTTGCAGGAGTCTGGTCCTGCAGACATGCTGTTCTCGGGTCAGTTTGAAGTGACGGCCAACAGCAGTGGAGAGTTTCTCTGCAGGAGTGAGGAGAGTTGGCCCCCCCCCAACACAGTTGACTGTCACGCCACTGAAGTCATCGTGGCAGGTAACATGCGTTCTTTATATAGTATTATATATATGTCATATTTTGATAAAATGAAATCAAATTTTTTTTTTTATTCATAGAATTTCAGTCTTTGCCTGAAATCAATGGCTCTGTTCCAGCAGCCAATCAGAGCTGTCCGTTCAGGTCTCCATTGATCCCAGAGGAGGTGATTTGGGCGGGATGTGGAGTTTTATTGGTCTACAGCGTGTCAATCACCTGCATTGCCATTGTCTTATGGGTAAATATGAGAACATGGAGCGACTCATAAACCCTGGACATGTTATAATATACATTTAGTACATACGTGTTGTTGTTAGATATTATCAATGTGAACATTTCTACTAAACGTCTTATGTCGGTATATATATATAAATATACATTTTATCTTCTTATTGCACTTTTTTTGTTGAACATCTCAATATTGAATGTATTTATTTAAATTATTTTTTTATTGCACTTTTGTTTTAGATATTTTTTATTTGTTTTATTTTATTTCTTTAACTACTTTTTTTTTATTGAATCTTTTTATATTTACTTATTGAATTTTTTTTTTTTTATTGATTTCTCAAAGGGAGCAACAGTGAAACATATTTCCCCTGGGCTGTATACAATATTCTGATTCAGATTTGTAATATCCATTTGTCAGCATGTAAGTGAAACTCTTCCCTTTCCTTCTGTGTTTGATTCCTTTAGAGAAACATGAGGAGAAATGAGGAGGATTCAAACGATTACATGAACGCCAGACCTGGAGAGTTCAGGAAACCTGGCTAAGTTCAACAACAGCGTGTGGCAATCATAAGGACAAACCATGGCTATTAAAGCTAGTATTGTAGTGGTATATATAAATAAAATCCATATTTATTTCACAGTTATGTTGTATAGTGTATTTCTTTAAAGCTCACCTATTATACTGTTTCTCATCAATATATTATGTCTCTGAAGTGTTTGGAAAAACATCGTTATGACCAGTGCTTGAATTGGAATAAAAAAGGTGCCAGTTCTCTAAATCAGCAACTGTTTCAAGTCAATTTATTTATACAGCCCAAAAACAAGTATTTGGCTCAAAGTATATCCTATAATGCTGGTGGGTTTGTCTCTTTACTGTATATTTTAGAAACGGCTCACTGTACTTAAACAAAATGACTCAGAGTGCATCTGAGATTAGAGGGTTGCAGTGGTAAAGTGCTATTTTTATAAGTGGGAGTGGACCTCAAATCCTATAGGGGGGTCCCCCGGTAAGATTTTTTAATGTTGGACTTAAATGCATCAATCTGGTGCATTTTGAGGGGGAAATAAAGACACTACACCCATATGAAACAGAACTGTATATATTTAAATAATCATAAAATCATAAGTACATGGCCATAACCAATAACATACCATATCCAATCTGAAAAAACATTGAAACTTGTTTATTTATTTGTTTTTGGTTCATTTATAGTTGTGAGTGTGTCTGGGCTCCTGAATCAGCCTCTCCTGTTCCCTCCTCTCCCCCTGCTCCTCTTTGAGGCAGCAGCAAAGACTAGTTTTAGCTCTCAACAAGTTTATCTTTCCTTTTTTCACCTAGTTAACATTTTATTTGTATTATTCATGCATATTTTACTAATCATCCCCCTCAAATGGAAATATGTGTTTACATAAATGGTGACCGAACCGTTTGAGACCCACTGAGATAACTTAGACTAAGTTAACTATCTAAACACTCAGAGAGTAATTTACCTCACCTGAGCTGTAGTTATCAGCCTCTCAGTCTGACAGGAGAGGACTCTCCCCACATCTTGTTGTTGAGACAGCTCCTTATATCCGTTAGCGCAGCTAGCTAGCAGTGCACAAGATGCTAACAACAATACACATAACAGGTGCGCGTGCTTTCTCGCTCGCTCGCGCCAACCGCCAACACAC